CAGCCTCCTTTCTGTTCAGCACTGGGGAAGACTCACCAGTTTCTCTACAAGAGGTAGTGGAGAAGACAGGCTCACTCCACCTGCCAGCTATATCCTCTGCCTCTGCCAAAAGCTTCTGTATTTCTTGAAATGCAGCAGATCCCATCAAAGAACCACCTTCTTGATCCTTATTTCTCTTACTACCTACACTTGAAGTTTGTGATCCTCTCTCAACTTCCACTTCACTTTTAACTCCAGCCAAAGAACCAGCAGCCCATCTCTGTGGGCTGCTGTTTGCATCTTTGGGCTCATTTTTAGCTGGCAGATCCTCAGTGCTCTTTGCAGCACGGCTGGGACTCTCCCTGTCAGCACGGCAGCGAGGTGAAACACTCTGCAGCTCCTGCTTTGCTTCAGCTGCTTTGGAGACAGCTGCACACTCTGCCTCGGGAGCTGTTGTCTCCAGATGATGGCATGACACACTGCACTGACTCACTGGGTTGTCTCCAGGAGATCTTGAGAGGCAGGGAGAGAGTTCACGGGGTGACAGAGTGTCAAAGCCAACCTCTGGGTGCGTTGGTACAGACACATTGAGAGCGGAGGTGCCGAAGTTGAAACTTGTCTGAGTGATTTCAACTGCTGACAGTAATTTACCTACAGAGAAACAGAAGGTTCAGTAAGATTTGGGCTCCAAAAACAGCTGCAGCACGAATGACTTTTTCTTGTAGTAGAGGGATTGTAAAGGGAGGGAAGAATCCACATATTGAAGACATTTAGGAAACTCTATTTAGCATGAGACTTGAACTAAGACTTCCATGAGAATTGGCTACTGAAAATCTCAAAGAGCACTTGGGATAAACGCCAAAGGAACTACAGAACTTGATTAAATAACCTTCTTTTCAATAAATGCTTAGACTAGATTTTAAATAAATGCTCCTAAATACATGACATCCAAATGAACACCTGGCTTATGAAAGCATCCCTAGGGCAGCATTTCCAAAATATGCCTTTGAAAACAGGCAAATGACATGCTATGGATGAGCTTCTTTCCCATTCCTGGTTAGAAAGCTCCCTGTGACCCAGCTTCAGTGTGTGCTTGAGCCCAGAACCCCCCGTGTGCTGGGTGCCCCCCCGGAGCGTGAGCAGCAGCTCAGGGAGGGGATCCTGCCCCTCTGCTGTGCTCTGGGGAGACCCCCCCTGCAGCCCTGATCCAGCTCTGGGGAACAGCACAAGAGGGACGTGGAGCTGCTGGAGCAAGGCCAGAGGAGGCCCCGGAGCTGCTGCGAGGGCTGGAGACAAATCATTTCCTTCTTAAGAACTCTTATAAAGAGAGAAATAAAGATAAAAAGAGATAAAACATCACTGCACTGCTAGAAGATGCCACACAGCCATGACTCCTTAGAGAGAAGGTGTGTTTTCCATAGTTAAAACCATGCTTACTTTTATCAGTGCCAACTATCTCATGTGAGATGAGAGAAGCTCAACTCATATGAATGAGTCAGAGCACCACATGAGAAGACACTTGATATCTACCAGGCCAAGAGCAACCTCAGAGATGAACCTGAAGTTCTGTGCTCTCCAAGCCTTGCACAACACAAGGTCTGTCCCTCCTTCCCCATACCTTGTGGCTGTGGAACAGACCATGCCAGTGTGTCAGTGGAGTCCTTCAGTGTTCTAAGCTCTGATGGGGAAAATTCAACTTCCCTGATGGGTCCTCGGGGCACAAATGGCTTCAGTATAGTTCCGGGTGACTGATCAATGCCAAGGTTGTGAAGATATATCTGGCAATAGAAGAAATAAGTAAGATACATCCGATTCTGAAGTTGCATATTTTCTGCATCATCATAAACGCAAACAACTTGCTTTAAAACATCTTGAGCCCAAATCATGTTCAACTCGCACTAACAGTTCACCCAAAACATGAGACAACATTTCCAGCTTACTCTATTCTTTATATCATGAGTGAGAAGCCTGTTTTCTAGGTAATATGACTAAACCTATGTAGCAGACACCTCACAAGCCACGGGCAGCCCAGCAGACAACTGGTGTATCCCTGCATCTATTCCTCATTTGGTTACATTTGGAAGCAATTCAGCAGTAAGTTGCAAGAACCACGCTGGTGGTGAGAGCTGGTGCTTGCACTCACCAACAGTTCTTTCCTGGGGCTTTCCTGACCTTTCCTTCAGCACATGCCAAAGACGGACACTGGCAGCAGCCTGTTCACCAAACCAGAGCCAGCCCTTTCCACAGGATCCAGAAATGATGGAAAAGGTTGAAAAAGAAGAGATCACATATCTTGTTCTTCTGACAATAACCAACTTCCCCTGCTTCAGTTTGAACCCATCACCCCTTGTCCTGTCTCTACAGTCCTGAAGGGCCCTCCCCAGCATCCTTGTAGTCCCCTTCAGACACTGGAAGCTGCTCCGAGGTCTCCAGCAGCTTCTCTTCTCCAGGCTGAACAGCCCCAATGTTCTCAGCTTGGCTCCATACGGGAGGTGCTCCAGCCCCTGATCATCCTCGTGGCCTCCTCTGGACTTGCTCCAACAGCTCCAAGTCCTGGGCACATCAGAACTGCACAGAGGGCTCCAAGTGGGGTCCCATTTCCTATTATCTAAAACACCCTCCATGTAACAGCCATATATTTGACCCAATCTCCTTTAGCTGGTCAGTGATTTATGAGAGCAAAACTTCTCAGAACTAGTGCTGGAGAACAGGCCTGATTATAGTCATAAGAGGAGGTAACAGACAACCTTTACATCTCATACATGTCACTTCAAACATCCTCCCTACAATATTTATATTTGTTTCACCATGTATCTGCCAAGACAACCAAGTGAAGAGTGCTCCAAACCCCAGCTCCAAAGACCCAATGATTACAGGAGTCATCTTGTGAGAGGAACAGCCACTTACTCAGAAGATAATTACATGTTTATCATTAACATAAATCTGCATCTCATTTTCCCCTAACACTCAGCACCCATGAGCACAGTTCACATGGCTCCCACAACCTGCCCTCCAATCCCAGCAACCAGCCTGAAATGGGAAAGGGAGGGAAGGAGTCTGCATTAAGTGTGATTTAAAGGAGGAAATGGATTCCAAAAGCCTTTCTGAGCAACATATAAAGGATCAGGAATTTATGCCTTGGATACAGCAATAAAGTGAACATGCAAAGTGAGTATTTATAGAAGAAAAAGGCAGTTTGATTTGCCAGGATCCTGTGTTGGGTTTGCTATTATTGCAGATCGTGGGTGGGTGAAGTTCAGCTCTTCTGCAGCCCAGTGTTTCCTTAGTCAGCAGTTGAGCCTCAACCTCATGGCTCGATAATTATAACCTGACCTTTGGAAAGACTCTGGAAGATCAGAAATTGCTTATCAATGCTCTGCCAAAAGTTAGAACCAATTCCTTTGGGAGTTTTATCAAACAGATTGCGCTGCTCATCATCATGTCCTGTTCTTGTGTTCTTTATGTTCCATCACCATCCACCACCAATCTTCACATTTCTCCTGCATTCCATTCCCATGATACAACAGGTTGGACACAGGGGCTTGGAGCAACCTGCTCTAGTGGAAGGTGTCCCTGCCTATGACAGGGGGTGGGAACTGGGTGAACTTTAAGGTCCCTTCCAACACAAACCATTCTATGACTCTATGAACTATGGCATGACATGTTCCCAACATGATGAGGATCAGAAACTAACTGTAAGCTTGCTTGTGCCTCTTTCCTGTGATAACTCTACACTTGTGTCCTACTCTGTGACAGCCAAGTGCACTCTGATTTCTTCACAATCAAAAGGTAAAGAGTTTTTCCTTAGGAACCAACTTACTGGGATCCTTTCCTCAATATCAAGCTCTTCTTCCTCTGGAGTTTCCAAAGAAGTTGCTTCAACAGGGATGAAGTTGTTTTCTGCACTGGTGAAGAAGTGCCTGGAAACCCCTGAAGAGCCCCTTGCAGAGACCAAGCTCATTGGCCTTCCTTCTCCAGAACTAATGGGAAGATTCAAACTATCTGGGGAAATATCTCCCAAATTGTCCACTCTGACATGGCCAGTAGGAATATTTAGCTTGTGAGACTGATTTTCCAGAGCATCACAATTCTTCTGGTCATCAGTTGAAGAGTCTCCATCCTCTCTAAGGAGCTGAGCAAGTCCTTCACTGGAAACAAGAACATCTGGGTCTGAACTTTGTCCTGTACTGTTCTCTTGTGCATCTTTACTGCTAGATCCAGAAACCATGTCAGCTGTAATCTTTTGGGTCATGGAGCCTCCTAAACTGTTTTCAGACACTCCTAAAACGTTACTTTTGGCTTCTAGGGGCTGCACTGCCTCTGCTGGGTCTGATGGAAGAGGAACTTCAACCAAGGATGCATTCCTACCGGAAACATTCACAGTGTTGTCAGACTGAGACCTGGTAAGAGGGTGAGCAAGGAGTAAGTTGTTAGTGTGGAAATACAATCTTCCCAAGGAACCTGTCTCTCTGGAGGAAGCAGCAACATCATCTTTGGGGTCTCTATCACTTTGTTGTATTGACAAAACCTTGTTTGAAGAACTGGCAATTGCACTGAAGGCTCTCCTAGGAGAAACTCCACCTGGAGAAACCTCACATGAAGTCACCACATCAGGTGCCTCCTCTGGCTGGCTCATGTTCCAAGCCCCTACCTTCTCCATGAAACTAAGTGATGGGAGAGCCTGAATCCTTCCAGTGTGGGGATGTTTTAAGGACTCCAAATGTTCATTGCTTGCTTTCTGAGCACGCTGGAGTGACTGTTGCTTCTCATCAGATGCAGGTGTGACGGTAGAGGAGTTCTCTGAAGTTTCGTCATTTAAGCAGGAAGGAGAGGCCTGAATACCTGATTTGATCATAAGGACACCAAGTTCTGCCTTAATATTTTTCCTCAGAAGTATCCCTGGAGTAGACTGATAGCTTGGATGAGGAAGGTGGACAGAGAATAAGCCATCACTCACAAGGTTAAAGGAAGGGGAAATGTCTGTTACTTTATGGCCCCTTTCTATGGAGAAGTCTGAGATGGTTAATTCACTCCTGCTTCCTCCAGGTTCCACTTCCACTGAGGCACCCTCAGTGAATGAGGAAGGAGCTCCTGTGTCAGTCACAACCCGTTGTTTAGCTGCACCATCAGTGGTGTTTGTCACAGCAGGGATAAACTCCTCTTTCTCAACCCTCACTGCAGGAGATAGTTGTTTCTGCTGATGATCTAGGAAAGCTCCCTGGAGCTCCTCAGTAACAGCTACAAACTTCAAGCTTTCAGAGCCACTTAAACCCACTCCATGTTCCTTTGACATTCCTTTGCCTGTTTCAGAAGCCTTTGCAGAAAAAACATGTTGAGCATCTGAATTTTTACAACTGTCTTTCCTCAGATCATCAGATAAATTAATAGATAAATCAAGCTCAGGAACCTTCTCTTCTTCGTGTAGCTTCTCCAGCTGCCTCGTGCACCCTTCTGACTCACTCTCAGCCCTTTTTACCTCTTCCTTTTGCATCTCTCTCTCATTCTTTTCCAAGTTCTTAGTCAGTGCTGTTCTGCAAGAGGAGCTTTCTGAAGATGAGAACTCATTATGCCTCAGTAACCCTTTTTCTTTCTCTGCAAGCTCAGAACCAATAGTTGGTACATTGCTGTCATGGGAGAAATGTTTATCTTTTACAGACATGCTACAGATCTGCTCTGCAAGAGAAGCTGCCATTTGGTGCAGTCTATTTGCCTCTGTTGGCATCACCTTTGAAGTGGAGGTTGCTAAACTGTCACGCGCTGGGGGGATCAGTGCTCCCTCCTGAGTACCAGGTTTATAGTCTTCATTTGCCTCCTTGCTCACAAGTAGTTGTCCAGAAGAAGAGGTGTGCTGAGGCAAACCACCACAACCAGCATCACGAGGCTCCATGTGTCCAAGTGGAAGAGGATGCTGGGACAAAGGAAAGCAGTCACTGGGTGCATTGGAGGGGGATTCTGTGTCCATCAGTGAGAGAGCTTCACAGATGTATGATGGTTTTAAATGCTCCTCAGACACACCAGAAACATCAGGGACTCCTCTGCAAGAGGCAAGAAAAGTAAGTGAATTTCTGATCATATCTTTCACTTCAACATCCACATTCTCTGCTTTAGTATGAGGCAAAAGTAGAACTTCACTGGAGTAACTGGGGTTTAGCAACACACACAGAAACACATCCCCCAAATGGGCTGAAATGGGAAGAACTGTAAAGAGAGTCCAAACAATATCAAAAAGCTATAAAGCAAAGGTTTGAAAATAACATCAGTTTCTACTTAGTCAGTGTTCTTTAACCCATTGAGGACTGAAGTATTTTTTACTCACAGGATGTTTGTTATATAAAACACGAGTTGCTCACACAGGTACAAGTTAATGAGTAATTTCTTTCTACCATAAATCAGTTTCATTACATTAATTATTTCTTTAAAGCATATAAAATAAGCCAGGTCTTGGATGAACACAGTAACAAACTCCCACAGACTTCTAATATTTTCATTGGGGATTTTGAATTAATGATTATTTGATAGGAAAATTATCATCAAACACCAATTCATACTTCTCCATGCAAGTAGATCACCAGCTCTGGTGGAACTAAGTTCTGATCCACAAAGTGAAGTCACAGTGTATCACTTTGGGAATCAAATCTGCCTTCTGTCAGAGCCCGAAGTAAAATACAAGGAAGCCTAAATATCAATGGCACTGGAAATATGGGTGTTTATAGGCACACTTTCTGTTTTATCTCTCTCTTTAATAAAGGCAGAGGATTTCTTGCACAAAAGAAACCATTTGTCACACCTTGAAGTGAAGGTTTGGACAAAGACTTTTAGTGCAATAGCTATTTCTTTATGTGTTCATACTTTCTATAAAAAGATGCATTTTCAATTAGACATCATATCTATTAGTCCACTATATACAAACCACAGTATTATTACATGTATTTACTGTAAATACACGGAATCTACTATGGTAAATAAAAGTTGTATCTGATTTATGTCTGCAACATATGATGAAGTTTATTTCAGAGTCTAAAGAGATGCCTGAGAGGGGGGAGCTCCCGATTCTCCCATTTTCATCAGGTGCTTTAGGATGACAAGTTTGGGTTTTCCCTTGTTCAAACTCTTCTGAAGGCAAAATAAGATGAGCTGAACTCTGACAATGCCTTTTCTCTACACGAGGAGTAAACCAGATGTGTGTCTTAGTTCCGTGACCATAAAAGTGTAATTATTTATCAAGTGTAGGATAATTTATGGCCACTGAGGGAATAAGGTTTATGTTCTGTCATGACGCCAGGTAACTTTACCCTACCTTAAGGGAATAAAATCCATTTCTGATTGCTGGAGAAGCGTCACGCCTGAAAATCTTTGGCCTTGTGTTAAATACATCAGCCGTGGAAGGCAGGGAGAGAATTGAGTGTCCTGAGTATCTGTTCAAAACAAGAAGAACACAGCAGTAAAAGCTTGCCAGGCAATCCCTCGTTAAACTGCTCTGCCAGCTAACCCAGCCTCCAAAACCCAGACCCATGCCAGCTGCAGTGAAAATGATGTAATCCCATCACTTAAATCCCCTGCTGAAGCATGTTCCCTCACGGATTAAATTCAGCTTTCTTATCACGTATCATATTCAGCTTCCTTCTTGTCAGTCTCAAAATCCATGTGACACTGACACCTCCAACTTACCCTCTTACCCTTAAAGCGCTGCTTCTGCACATCCCTGTCCTCCACGCACTAGTCAGCATTCCCTGGGGATTTCCATGAAGTCTGTATGCATCAGAGAATATCCACAGGGCTTCTACCCCGTTCACTGCTTTAAAAACCAAGAACCCCCAGCAATGCCTTTCCCAGTCTCCATTTTTCCATGAATCCTGATGACAGCAAAGGCTGCATAAGGTTTTTATTTTAGAGTTTCAAGAGACAAGAAATAAAACTCAGTCATCACAATTACAATAGTGCCACACCAGCAGTAAATCCTAGTTTCTATCATATTTCCTCATTCCTGGAAGGAATTGGCACCTTCTTTCAGTTCACTGCTTACAAATGGAAATGGTTTATACCACAAGAATAGAAACAACTAAAAGCTGGGATCTGGCCAGTGTAAATGTCTACATACACATTTGATGGATGCAAAAGGAAATCACTTCAAATACTTTATTAACTAAGATTCTTTTCTTAAAACAAAACAAGTTATGTGTGGTCAAGAATATCACTTTCAGAACCAGAATCTGTATTCATTTAACTTAGATTCATCAGATTCATCTCAGCACAGCCATCCTCTGAATCACTTACAGAGCCATAATCACATCAGGTAAGACTATTACATACAAAAATCAAGTTTACATCACATCAGCTTTATCCTGAGGCATTCTACAGCCTCTGTTACATCACCTGATGAGTGGGATCCAACCAGACCAAGTATCGGATTCATCTTTAATTTAATATCTCCAATGACCATTTTCTTAATGACTTTAGAACGCTACATAGTGAGACAGAAATAATTCTACATCAGCACAGCAAAGCTGGCTCAAAATTTGGATGTCCCTTACTCCCACCTCATCAGCAGCTAGAAAAATAAGAGTAGGATTACTGTACAGTTACAGAGATCCCCTTCCACCTCAGCAGCTGTCTCCAACACATGGTCAGCCCAGTGCATCCTAGAGGAAGCATCTGTAGTACAGATGGCACAAACATGCTACAGCAACTGAAGTGGAGAGACTTTGTTTTTCCAACACCTCTTTAAAGCCAAACTCTCCCCTTGACTTACCAGATAAATGCACTGCGCCAGTCACCACTGAACTGCGCTTTCATCTGAACCAGCCCAGAACCCCCCCGTGTGCTGGGTGCACCCCCAGAGCGTGAGCAGCAGCTCAGGGAGGGGATCCTGCCCCTCTGCTGTGCTCTGGGAAGCCCCCCCCTGCAGCCCTGGTCCAGCTCTGGGGAACAGCACAAGAGGGACGTGGAGCTGCTGGAGCGAGGCCAGAGGAGGCCCCGGAGCTGCTGCGAGGGCTGGAGCAGCTCTGCTCTGGAGCCAGGCTGAGAGAGCTGGGCTGGGGCAGCTGGAGAAGAGAAGGCTCCTCAAGGGGACACCTTAGAGCAGCTCCAGGGCCTAAAGGGGCTCCAGGAGACCTGGAGAGGGGCTTGGGACAAGGGATGGAGGGACAGGACAAGGGGAATGGCTTGAACCTGCCAGAGGGGAGACTGAGATGAGCTCTTGGGCAGAAGCTCTTCCCTGGGAGGGTGCTGAGGCGCTGGCACAGGGTGCCCAGAGAAGCTGTGGCTGCCCCATCCCTGGCAGTGTTCAAGGCCAGGTTGGACACAGGGGCTTGGAGTAACCTGCTCTAGTGGAAGGTGTCCCTGCCCGTGGCAGGGGTTGGAACTGGCTGAGCTTTAAGGTCCCTTCCAACCCAAACCAGGCTGGGATTCTATGATTTGCAATACCAAACAGGATTGAAAATAAAAATAGCCACCTACTTTTTTGGAAGGTTGTAGAAAGGGAAATTATGTGTATCAAGAAAAAAATAAATAGGTATTAATAGCTACTCTGTGACCAGAGGAGCCATTCTGAAGGGGCTCCAGTGTAGACTGATAAGCATCTGTGTAAAGCTAGATGAAAAAATAACTGTAACATATATGGAAGTGTAAAAAAAAGTAGCGAAAACAGCAGCATCAGCATAGAGGGAGCCAAGAAAATAAGGAACAAGGTCAGAGAAGTCTCATTTATACCATAACAGCACCTCAGGGCTCTGTTGTTGTAGGGCACAACCAAGATTAGGATCTAATGCACCAGACTGATGGGTACTTAGGTGATTTTAATCACAATTTAACATCACAGAAAAGGGGACTGATCCAATTCACTGCTGTATCTGCTATTTCATGTGTACTTCACAGAACACAAAGAGGGTTGTTTTCAGTGGCTGATACTTAGAACCAAATCAAGGTTGCACATTAGATTCCTTATTCCCAGCTACTAACTGTGAGTTGACAGTATTTTCAATGCATTTATTCTCTTCAGTGCACATTTACTCAGACAAGTCTTCGTTGTTTCACTTGAAAATACCAAGGAGATAAACCTTAGCTACAGAATTGCATTAGAGATGCAAGAACGTGTATTTTAAGAAGCATTAAGCAAGCTGGAACTAAACTATCATAACTGGGTTAGATGGACTTTATTTCACTCCCAAATCTTGTTTTACATTAAAATTGTACTGGTGAACAAAGGCAACAGTAACTGCTGTTATCAAATCAGACTTTTCATCTCACATCATGATATAGTTTGTGGCTGCAGAACCAGCATCTCACTTTCATTCATGCAATAGAAGAGAGAAATCAGCTTTCCTCAGTTTCAGCTTAACTTCTTCACTCTGAATGAAACCATGCTTTAAAGCCACACTAAAATCAGAAGTGATTAAAGGAAAAGCTTTTCCATACAGTAATTCTGGGGGTGCTGCCTTTGTAAATGAAGAAACAAAATAGACTGAGGGAGGGAACTAAATGTAATTGAAACAAAGTTGTCAAATGCTATCCAGAATACTTCTTGCCAAAGAATTTAATGCATCTACACATGTATTGGTGAAATAAATGTGCATATACACTTCTATACACACACACAATGGAAGTCACACCATTTGGCTGATAAATCAATGCTTTAAAGATATATCAACAAACACATAAGTACCACTCAGCATTTGTGTTGAGAAAGAGATCAAAAATGATTCTCTAAGTAGGATTATAAACAGGAAATCCTCACTGCATCTAGTGAGGCCCTTCAAGGGTGCTCTTGGCTCTTCCCTATGGGAAACTGCAGAAATCCCCGAGGTCTTACAGGGAAAACACATGGATGAGGCATGTATTTGCCAGTCTCACTGCACAGACCATTCACAGAGGGCACTTGGGGCCACCTGG